GTTCATTTCTGTGACTTTCATCCAACAAAAATCAGTTATGAAGAAATAGCTCGGTTATGATTTGACCATTTTGGATCATTTGATGGTCACAGTATGTGCCTTCACACAAAGATATCTCTTTCTCCCTCACTGTTAACTTAAACACAATACTCAACTGGCATTTTTAAATTAAGGGCAAATCTGTATGTTTTTATATCCAAAAGTGCAAACACGAATTTTTAGGTGCTGACCTTTTGCCAGACACAGAAATGTAGCTTGTATAGCACAGAACTATTATTAGCATGTTTATTCACCCAACTCCAGCAAGAAACCCAGCAAACTCCTTCAGCCCCAGCTGCTGCTGCTCACATCGATCTGCCATCCATGGGAAGCACGGCCCTGGCAACAAACACGGAGACAGATAGTAAGACAGAGCTGCTTTGGGAATTAGAATTTTGAATGAGTGCAACTGTAGCAGGGAATTTTGCCCCCCCATCCACTCTTAAAAGGGTTATTAGATACATAACGAATGTTCATCAAATGGGTTTTAAGGCTCTGCTGCTTTTCTCTCTCTGCATGTCAGCTCACATGCGATCCCCAGGAGCAGTAAAACAGTCAACAGCAACATCAAGCACACAAGGATGGGGGGAAGCAGGACAAAAGCTTGGTAACTATCAACAACAGCAAAAATGTCTTCATTAGCACATCAGTTGTTCTTCCTATTTGTGTGAGCTTGCATGACCTCACAGTCTCACTCACAAACACACGAGTGGTGAGACAAGTTTTATTTCAGGTAAGACCAGCACCATTTGATCTCCAGGAGCAGGGGGGTCTCCACAATTCTTAGCAACAGCCACAAATCTGCAGCAGAAGCAGCAGCAAGAATGTTAAGGACAGCTTTTGGAGTAGCCATGGCCAACTTGCATCTCAGAGTATTTCTGGCCTTTTTTTTTTTTTCAGGAAAAAACCCCCAAGTGTCTCCCAGGGTCACTACCATATGTCAGGCAAACCAGCAGAGCAGTCTAATCCAGCAGTGTGTTTTTCTTGTTTTACTGAAGGTAAAATGAAAGGTTTATAACCCACTGCTACAACTGCAGAACAACAGCTGTTCATCAGGTCTGCTTACAGGTAACTCATCTTGTATCTCCAAAGGGCTCTGCTTCCATTCCCCTTCTAGGAAGCCAACATTCAGGAGCAGCTTTTCCTACGTACACAGAACATTGTTTCTGTTCATTCTCCCCCTCTCCAATTCAAATGCTGTTCTCCATTTTTGCATTTCATTTCAGTTTTCGCTTCCCCCACTCTTGGGCAGCATAATTAGATTACACAAACTACCTAAACCTCAGTCAGGGTGTTGTGTCACTGGCCCTTAGGCTAGGGTGAGGAATCGGTTTTTTGGCTGGCCGCCTGCAACTGCATCAACAGGTGGTTATCGGGATCAATTGCCGCGTTTGCCTTCGAAACATGCCCTGCAGTTTCCCTGTCAGAGAAAACACATTCTTCTCCACCATTTATTTGCCCTGAAGTTAACAGATACACCAACATGCGCCAGCAGAGGATCCTGCCTGCCTTTGAAAGCAGGAATGGGAGCAAGCGATTAAAGCACCTGGGATCCACTTTCCCAGGGTTTAGTCTCAATTGCTATTATTTCACTACATAACCTGTGTGCACTTCGACATCCTTCCCCACAGCTATAGCTACAACACCACCTGCCTCCTTCACAGGAGCAAGGGGTTGCTTTGCTAAATAGCTGCACGGCAACCGACACTTCTGGCAAGGAAGCAGCACGTAGAAACGCATCCTTACGTCGGTGGAATGGTAATTGTGAGCAGCTCAAGCAGCCGCGGGCGGACCAACAGGATCACTTTTGTTTAGCAAACAGTTAGGCTCATTCACCGGAGATCAAGCAGACCTACATTGTAATTTGGCAACAAGCTTTAGAAGCGAGCTGGAAAGACGGATGAGCCACCATCCACGTGCCCCAGACAGAGCTGGTACAAAGCGATGCTGCTCTCCCTCTCCCCCCAGCTCCCTCCCGGGTGGCAGCAGTCCATGTCCTTATTGACTCCATTTCCTTATTAATTTCCTTATTGATCTGCTCACTAGGCAGATATGATATTTTGATCTCCCATACTTCTGACGGCGCTGCCGCTGGATTGCAAAGCCTCCTGAGTAGCTCGTGTTTTCTGTAATCTGGGCAGTGTGGATCCACGCAGGCTCACCCGGAGAGCAGACACCCACTGAGGGGTACCTGGGGGAAACCGGGGAAGCTCGCTGTGTTAGCACCTGAGCTGCTCCTCTGCTTACTCCCTGATGAGGAAATTCACGGAGTGACTGGGGCTTCAGATTTTTCAGCTGGTCTTCCATTTTCAGATCAGGACAGTGGCCAAAAATACCCTGAACCATCAAACTCTAGGTCAGGATGTTACAGCTACTACTTTTTTTCTGTATAATTGTAGAGTAATTGGTCTACAATCAGAGCAGTGACTGCACAGCTGGAGTCTGTGAGGATGGGTAAACAGTTTGGACATGAAATACGTTCTTATCTGCGATACCTGCCTAGGGTCTTCCACTATATCCACAATCATGTTGCCTGTCCCTCATCCATCACCTTCTCCACCGCTTCAACGCAGCCACCATGTGTAGGCACCTAGCAGAGGCTGCAAGGCCTACACACAACCCCAGGCATTTCAGAAGGGGTATGTCTGAGGGGAAAACACAGAACATAATTCTCAACAGCAAAACACACTACATTTTCTACTTACACTGGTTTATTGCTTATTATACAGGTCCCAAATAATTTGCCTGTGACAGGGGTGGGAAGAAGGAGTAAAAATAAAGAAAGCATAAGTGCAGAGATGAGGTGGTGGCACCAAGTAATGCAGCTTCCCAATGATGGAGCCATCAGGAGACTCCCAACTCCTGGTCTGCACCACCGGGTCTGATAGTGAATGCACAAACTGGGGACAGAGGCTCGCTTTTCAAAAGTGTCAACTAATCCTGTAATTACTGAAACAAGTGGATCTTTAGCATCAGTACCACAGAGACACCAAGCACCTAGAGAAGAGCATGGTTAGTTCTGTGTGGCTCCAAGCCCCGACAAAGCTCTGGATGCTCTATAAACAATACCACCAGCACAAACCATGCTATCTAATAAAGTTGAGGAAGTGTTTGCTGTCAGTTCTCAAAACAGACTCTTTCATAATTGAAATACTGCAGAGCAGAAGACAACATTATAATAAATGGGTGCTGCTAAGTTTGAGAAGAGCAAAGTATTTTGTCAGCAAATCCCATTTACACAAGCAGAGGCAACGTCAGTAGGAGCAGTTATGTTACACTGTGTACTAGCACATTCACTGCAGGGCTTGGATATTTTTCTTAGTCCTTTTTAACTTGCAGTGGGCTTTACTAGTAAGTTGGAGGAAGTTCAGAGACTAGCTATAGGAACAACTGAAGGACTGCAAAAACTCAAATAATGCTGAAAACACTAGCAGCTACATCAGTGGGTTGTATCAAGCAGCAGGTTAAGGGAGGAGTTGATTACTCTATGGAAAACAGACTTTTGGTAATGGGATCTTCAATGTGGCCAGGGTGTAAACAAATCCAGTGACTGTAAGCTGACAAACAAATCAGACTAAAAATACAGGAGGACATTTTCAATAGCCAAGGTAATTAACCTTCAGCACAATTTATTGATGGTTGTGCTGGATTTTCCATTCCTGGAAACATTAAAAAATAGGATGGAGGTTTTTCTAAATCACTTCCTAAATGCCCAACATGGTAAAACAGAACAGGATGCTGCTCAAAAAAGCTAAAAATCACCTTCACCCAGGTTCAGTCCCTCCTCAATAACAATGAACTCCTGTCCTCCCAGATTAACCTGGGTGGGTTAGGAGCCCTTGGAGGGCCATCGGTATAAGCCTGTCAGCTGGCCAGAAAGCAAAACATAAATGTAATTTCTGGAGTTTCCTGTCACACCATGTGTCAGGAAAGAACATTTTTTTGCACCTCCTGATGTGTCCTGTGGAGCTGAGCTCTGCCCTTGCTGTCCATCAGAGCCACTTTTCACCTTGTCTGTCCTTCCCACATACGCTTTTATTCCTGAAGACATTATCCGCACCCTCCATGTTTGCTCACCCTTTTCCCTGCACTCATTCCCCTGAGGAGCTTGTCCCTTCTCCCACGCCCCCAGGACCAGAGGGGAGAGGTTTTGGGAAGCGGGGTGACCTGCTTGCTGCACCGAGCACTGCCTGGGCAGCCGGGAGCAGCTGAGCTGCACGAACAGCACCGGCAGAAGCGGCGAGCGGAGGGATGCACCCCATCGGCGCGTGGTTGGGAAGGTCCTTCAGAGATACCACGGGAAATGTCCCATATTACAGCACAACCCCGGGCCCAGATTTACCAGGCATCCACAGGCAAGGCAATTCACCCTCCTGCTCCAGCTTCCCCCTGTACAGAACCACAGTAATGATATTTACTCCGTTACTGCACAGAAGCATTTTCAGATCAATTAGTTTAGTGTTCATGCAAAGCTCTGTGGACAGAAGCCTCAATACAAGTAGTAAGTACTATTATTATTACCGCACTTCAGATGGCTACAGCACTGGCATTTTCCAGGCACGCACCATTAACAATTTACTAAGATAAATGGCCCAGGAACCTGAAAATGCATTTATGACAACTACCTCCTGCTTACCAGCATACATTCAGCTGTGTAAAATGACACCTCATTGCTCAACGTGTAGCTATGGTAACATTTCTATCTCATACACTGAAGTGTATGCACGCACGCACGCACACACACACATATACACACGTGGAGCTGGAGGAATGCCAGGCTAGCTCATTTAATGACACGCAAACACCAAGCCAGGGAACCTTCCCAACCTCCAGAAGTCAAGCTGCCCTGGGAGCCGAGGGTGAGGAGCAGGCAACTCGCCCCATCCCCAGCGGGGAAGGGCTGGGCTGACAGCAGGCTGCACCGTGCAGCCCAAGCCCCTCCAGGCCATCAAGGGACTTACTTGAGAGCAGTTTTGTAGTGGTAGATCGCCTCAACGTTACGGCCCTGGTCTTTCAGAAAATTGGCGTAGTTGTAGTGCACCTTGGCATTGTGGGGCAGGGTCTTCACTCCTGAGCTGCAAAGAGGAACAGAAGCAGGATGGTGTTAGCAGCCAGCTTAACCCACCTTCCCCAAAGTCCACCTTCTTCTCGCGGTCCCTTTTTTCTGAAAATTTTGCTCGGATTTTGAGCGCCTTATCCTGCACGCTCATGCCAACACAACTCATGTTACAACCCCAAGCTTGCCCCGTGCCACTGGAATTCCACAAGCCCCTGGAGGACATAAATATGTGGTAGCAATTCAACTCGTCCTGGCCCCTGTCACCACAGGCACCTCTAGCACCAACACTGCAACACTCCCTGTGGACAGATGATGCCGTATTTCAAAATTTGTATTATTAAATTGAAATACCCTAAAAAGGCTAATATTTAGAGGGAAAGCATGCAGTACTCTCTATAATATAGCCATAACAGACTCCCTGCTTAAACTTGAGTGCCATGAAGCGCCTTATGAAAATCTTGATTTAAATTGGTCAGCTGCAGGCACCAGAAGGAAGGTATCTTTTCCATACGCATCAGCCACTAGAGGGGATGCATATCATACTCTGAGTACCAAGCCAGCATGTATGCACTGCTTAGTGCTGAGCAGAGTATGGCCAGGAGGTGAGGGCTAATGGGACGCTCGCCCTTAGCTGGCAAGTTGCGTGCTCTGATGATATAATACATGACTGAGGACATGTGGCTGCACAGCCACCCCATCCCTCCCCTTCATCTCCCCTGCCACGTGTAGATTGGACTCAACATTTGGAATTAACAATGAGGGCACAAAGACAAAAGGAAAAAAGCAAGCAAGCATATGCTTATTTACTTAATTGAGAGAACAGAAAGCAAGGTACACCTTGCACAGCTAGAGGAAATACTGTTTCAAGGTTAAAGAGAGAAAGAAATCACAGGAGCACGTATGCCATGGAAACATTTCCCCTGCAAGAATCCAGAGAAGTCAGTACTTTGTTTAATGGGGGAATCCTTTCCAAAACATAAATAGGGGCTCTCTGAGGTAATGGGAAATAAGGATGGATGAATCTGTTCATGTAAAAGCAGTCAAAGCGCTGTTTCTTGCTCACAGGCAGATTCCTGCCAGCTGCTTTCTTTTCTCCCCCCATTACCTCTCCTACCTCATGTAAGAAAAACAAGGTTTAGGAAACTCCCAAGTCTTGTTGCTTTGCCTTGTCTGTCTCTTCTGTTTAACTTTGGTGGGCATGGAAGTTAATCATAATGAGATGGGGTCGCACACAGCCCCCAGAGTGGCATGCACAGCCTCTCCCGTGGGGGGAATGCACCCACGGCTGCAGAAACCCTTTTTCAGGGATTTCATTGTAAAATGGTGCTGGAGAATTGTAGTGGCAAATATGAGGTCTTTTTGGTTATCTGCAGCCAGTGGTATCAAGCATCGCTAATGCCTACTTGTGAAAGCTTCCAAAGCTTCGCCCACGGCTGCCTTACAGAGTTCAGCACAACACAGCCATGGTTTGCCTACTGAAATTAAAAATACACCTTGCATTTGGCTTCCTAATTATCAGGTATTTCCAAATTACTTACTGGGAGCACTATAGGAATAAGACATTTTGTGACTAATCGCTGAATTAAATCAGTTAATTGATGCTATTCTTAAGAGAATGATTTTCTATATTAGTTTTCACAAAGATATACTGCACCAGCAGCAAGTAATGTGTGACTGCTATGGCTGTGTTAATTTCCATTGGCCTTGGGAGCTATTAACTACACACTTACAACCTCTGGGCATTACTGGCATATTAATTCTTATACAGAGAGGGTTTCATTACATCAGTGCCAGCGTTACAGGGACAGACACGGACAGACACTCAAAACTGCTGCTCGCTCAGAGCTACGCGCAATGAGTTGCTGGCTCTGCTACAGCCCCTGCTGAAACACAGCGAACTGAGTTAACGGTGAGGAGTACATTACATATGCACAAGTACTTCAGTTTTAACGAGATACCATTTTAACAGTAAGATGCATATGTTTAAATGTTTTAATTCTGGACTGTTTCCCTTTAAATAGAATTTATTATTAATCCTGCTGGTCCCATTTATTAAAATGCCATTAATAAGGCTTCTTTCACCTGTGTGCTTCTGCTGGAGGTGGGGGCGACTTAGGAAAGGCAGAGATCGGTTTGGATTCTTACGACACCGCTTGCACTCCCTGACCTATTTATTCGCCTCGCAGGGGCGGGAAGGGGGGTGTTTCATTCTGTAAACGCACGTAGCAATGACTGAGGCTGCCTGGAGTCTCTGCGCTGTGGGAGGTAGTAGCAGACCCAGCGCTGGATGTAGAGGGGATTTTTTAGGAGAGTTTAGGCAAACACTCCTGCTAATTGATTCTTGACCAGCCAAGAACACTGTTTGCTCATTGACAGAGGAAACAATAATGTCCATAATGAAAGCCAAGCAGGAAAGGGTGGAGTATAAATAACAAAGCAGAACACAATGTTTTTTCCATTTCTGCTTCCCACAAGCCCCCAGTCTCTCACAATTTCAATCTAATTTTCCAACGTGCTTTTCCAAACTCTCCTATTTCCCTTCTTCCCCAGCCCAGCACACACGTGCCCTTCTGAAAATCTATAGCACCGATCTGGCTCCAGCCAGAAACAAGCCCACTGAGATTGGACGTCACTTCTCTGGAGGATTTCCTTCCCTTTTGACTTCTATGACAGCAGCAAGAAACATAAATGGAAAATAAACAATAGGTAAACCCTTTTGCGTAACACTTCCTCTCCATGGAAAGGCAAAAGCCGTAAATCATAGAAACAAAATACCATTGGTATTTTCCAACCTCAAATACCGGCATTACCTAAATCCCTCTTCAGTTAGGAAAAGTCTCATGTGGTCCCCTCTGCTGTTTTCCTAAGAGCATATTTTTCTCTGCAAAGTGACTGGGTGCAGGGCAGAAGCGCCACTGATATTCTGTGATTTCTGTATGAAAAGTGCTCAGTTTACAAGGAAATGAGGCCACTCCTGCCTCAGCAGGAGCCCTGAGAGCCCCATGGGGTCTCCTCTGCTTTGGGAATCATTATCATCAATAAAGGTTCTCCATAGCAAATTATTCTCTAATAACACAAACAACTGCTTTCCTTGGCCTCTTACCCTTGTATTGATTTCACCAGATATCATTGTTGAGCCATATTAAACTGTTCTATAGAAGTTGCACACAATGCAATAGGACTTGCTCTCCTCAGCTGAGCTGGCTTTCAGAATTAACAAAATAACACAGCAGTAAATGCCACCTTTGGGGCTGGGTTGGTTTTTGCAAATTACTGAAGTCAGCAGACCTGGCTTGGGAGGGAAAACTGCTGACTAAGAAAGTGCCACTTTTATGCAGTTTCTTTGCTGGTTGCGACTGCGTTTCCAGGCTCTGTCACAAATGTGGGCAGGGCATGCAGATGCTTTCCAGGAGCAACAGGAGACGTGGCAGCGTGACAAACCTTGGAAAGTTCGGTACAGCGGATGCAGAGGTTAGTCCACAGCCCTCACCTCTCTCTCCCTGGTTTCAGACATTAACACTGACACGGTTGATGACTGTGGAGCCTGACCTCCTGGCCTGTGCGTTTGCTCTATAGGGTAGTTCTTTAAATATTTAATAAATAAGCCCTCTCTGCCCACCTGCCAATACAGTAAGGCAAACTGCTTGGGGCTTTTAGAGATCTGTTGGAATAATATGCCTCACTTTTTCAGATTTCTATATATTTGGCCACTTCTTATACTTGTGGTTCATTGGCTTCTCATTTAGTTCTCGCACGTATGTTAGTACACCTATGGGTCAAATTCATCATTTCCTCAGACAGTAGCATCCTGCCCTGCCACTGCTCCTTTCAGCCAGGACCCAGCAGGATTTCTACAGCCATAAAACTTGGCCCCTGGGCTGGAAACTGAGTCAGGATGTCTCAGAAATGGTAACAGTGGTGCCACGCCACGCAATGTCAAAGTGGGGTAAGCCTTGAAAATGGGACAAAATGGAGTACAAGCACAAAACTGACAACACGCTGGGTATATAAATGTCTCCTGGACCAGCGTAGAGAAAGCGTGTATAACAGAACATGTCTCAGCCAAGGGAACTGACACATATCGACCCTGAAGAAACACATCCTAGCAAATGGAGGAATGGAAAGGAGAGGTGAAGCAAAAAAAAAATAAAGGAGGGAAAAAGCAGTAATTAATTAAAGCAGCAACTGGAAAAATAAGAATGAAGAACTAGGAATGGGTGTAAAGATTCTCTCAGCACATACCTCTTTAAAAAAAAAAAAAAAAAATTCAACACACACACAGAGGCTCCCAAGTAGGTTGATTTATGGCTCCTTTCCCACATCTATAGATTTGTTCTGTTTCCTTATTATTTTCCCTCATACTTCTTTAGTCTTGCTTATCTCCTCCTCCCACTCTGTCCTTTCTAATTTATTGCCATTGCACATGCCTCCATCCACCCCTCCTTCCTCTCCTCATCAGCCTATATATAGCCTCCTCCTTCTGCCCCAAAGATGAGATCTCCCCGTCCTGGGATGACATCCTCTTCTTGCTATACTATTCTTCTTTTGCATTTCCTTCCCATCAAGAAGAAGAGTCCTACCATTATTACAGACTCACAAGAGATGTATAACACCTATCAAAGATGATCTTAAAAGGACAACAAAAAGGCCAGTGACAGCATAGTAAAAAAAGCTATGAGAAATGAAAAACGTCCTTTAAAAAGTGACCATCACAGCTACAGAAGGAAAAAGGAAGAGACTATAAACCTCAGTAAGTTAAACATAAACCATAATTAGGCAGACCAAAAGAGATTTAAGGAAAAACTCACTAAAGCCATCAAAGCTAATAATGGAATACATCAGATACAGGAAACCTGACAAAGATCCCCTAAGGCAAATAGATGATGGAGGTCTAAAAGTAGTGCTTGAAGAAGAAAAGGCCACGACAGAAAAGCTAAATGGATTATCTGCACCAGTGCTCATTACAGGGGAACTGAAGGAGGTTTAAACATGGGAGCCTTCCCTCACAGGGGCAAGTCCGAAGCACTGTCTCAAACTGAAGTGGCAGTAAAAGAAGCTTTAAAAAAAAATCAACACCAGGAACAGTTGTAAATCCACTGGGCCTGGTAGTATGCATCCAAAGGAAATCAAACATGAAGTTGCTATTAGCTGCGGTATGTAGCCTATCATTTAAATGAGGCTGGCACTGGAGAAATGGGAGGTGATGAACTTGATGTCACTTGGCTCCGGGGGAGGGATCCGGGGGGCAACACACCAGCAAGTCTGCTTTCCACTCCAGGTAACGTGGGGAAAACCATAATAAAGACTAGTTTTAGCAAACAGCTGGATAACTACAATCCAACAAAGAAGAATTAGCCTTGTATTTTGCAGAAAGAAGTTGGTAGGGCAGATCTGCTGTTCTTTGATAGACTCAACAGGCACGTGGTACTGAAACTATGGAAAGCTTTTATGAAAATCCATATATAACCCAGTCAGCCAGAATCACATACATCAAATGTTGTGCACTTAAATGTTCAAAAAGGCTTTTGATAAAATTCATCACTAAAGACTTCCAATATCTTAAAGACACCATGGAGTAAGAGGGAAGGTCCTCTCCTGAATCAATACTTAGTTGAAAGACAGCAAGCAAAGAGCACCGAGTATGCGAAGAGTTTTTACAATTGGAGAAAATTGCAAGCAGTGTTCCCAAGAGGCATGCAGTGGTATCTGAACTGCTTCATATGTTCACAAAGGATCTTGAAAAGGGAGCAAACAGGGAGGCGACACGTTTGCTGATGACACCAATGTGAATCACACCGCAGGAATTAAAGCTAACGACAGATTGTTGCAGAAGGATCTTGTGGTATTGAAGGCTGGACAAGAAGATGATAGATGATATGCAATTCCGGGAGAGCACAAGTATCAGAGAGGGTGTACACACACACACACTCTAAATTTGCATAAATCTGCACACAGATTGATGTCTATAAATCAGACACTTCCACTCACAATAGGTATCTTAGAGTTCACGTGGACTGTGAAAATATCACCCAGTGCTTGGGAAAGGTCACAAAAGGCAAGTGGAAGATCAGGAATTAGAAGAGAACAAAAACCAGAAAGCAGTTTTACATTACTGTGCTGCACATATCTCTTGAAAGGTGATTCTGGTCTCCTTCTCAAAAGGATGAATTAGAGTTTGAAGGCATCCAGTGAAGACTGACAAGGAGAATCAGAAACGCAGAACAGCTTCCATATGAGGAAACTTCAAAACCAGCAGACTACAGTGTGAAAAGGAGACAGCCTTGGGTGAGGGTATGGGGGTAAAGGCATGGAAGGAAGAGGACAAGTGATGAGCTAATGGTTACTCATTCAGCACACCAGAACTAGGGGACACCGAACAAGATGATCGGGCAGAAGGCTCACAGCATACAGAGGGGAAATCTTAGTGTGCACACTGTGTAATTTAACAACAGAGTCCAGCGCACAGGATGCTGTAGAAGCCAAAACTATAAATAGATTTGAAAGAGTCAGAGACATTAATGGAAGAACAGTCCATCAGTGGCTGTTAAAAGCAAAAAAAGCAAATAACTCCTGACTCAGGAAGTCTTTAAATTGCAGATTACTGCAAGCTGGGAAAGGACTGGAGAGAAGGATCACTGTTGCTGGCCCTGTTCTTACATTGCTTTTCCAGGCATCTGCTGTTGATTGCCCTCAGGGGCAGGCCACGATATGAGGTGACCCAGCAGGAGCACACCTACATTCTTGCCTTCTGCTCAAAAGCCCAGGGCAGATCTCTCCCCTGGAACTGTCCCCAGAAGACCCGAGCTGAAGAATGAGCCTGCTCAACCCAAGCCACTCAGCCCTGCATGCTGCTCTGGGCAACACCAAATCCCTGGCTTGAGGCAAGGTGAATTAGCTCCAGCTCAGTGCTGCACTGAAGCAGTGGCATGGTTTCTGAATTTAAGCTGGCTTGTAGATGGTCACCCTGACTTGAACAGAAGCAAGGATGGATAGAAGTCCATTTGCATCCAACTTAGCAGAGATAACCTTATCCTTCTCTTCTGCAAGAGACCCCTTGGCACCCCATATCATCCTAAGAGTGCTCCTTAGAAGGAGGAGATGTCCTCTTGTCATCCACTCCAGTTCGACCTCATCGTTCTTAAACACAAGTGACCACAACTGTATGCAACGCAACACCAGACGATGCCTGCAACTCAGCACGTGGAATTGCTATCTTCCCACCCCTGTTTCAACAAGAGAGTCATCCAGCTTGGAAAGGCATCCCGCTTTCCTCCGAGTGGCCACCGTTAGCCAGAAGGGTTTTGACTGGAGGTGTGCTTCATGGGGATCGCTGCGCGAGCCCAGACCGGTCACCATGGCTGCTATTGTTTGAACAGCAAACAGCATTTCAGAGAGACAGGCAATGAATCACATTAGAGAAAAAAAAACCCTATTCCAGATTTTTTTTTTTTTGAAAAAAAATCCCACTAACAGAGCTCCAGCCACGTCAATAGTGTTTCCTGAAGACCAAAGGGTACACATAAAAAATAATTTCATACTCTTTAGTGCTGCGTAAATTAAACTTTGCTCTGGCCAATAAGTTAGAAAATAAAACTAAGCAACCCATGTTGCAGATCACCTGTGTTTCTGCAATTACTTCACAATTAGACAACTGCTGAAAGCAGCTGGAGGCAAATGCAATACATTTGCTAGCAAAACACAAAATGGAACAGTCTGTTTCAGTGCAAAAAATTATATAAATGAGGTTGTAAAGAGAGCTGTTTGGCAAAGAGTAATCAAATAAAATGAAATATGGTACATTAAGTTTGGCACTTCATGGCTTTTCGTTTTTGTCATTAAGAACATCGCTAAAGAAAATTCAATATATGCAATAGTGTTACTATGGTGTTCTGGAGGGCTGCAACAAAATTTTGCTACGTCTCTAAAAAGGAAGGTGTTACATTATTGGTAAATCTACAGAACTGAAGTTATTTAAAAACAGCGTATCTTAAAAATGCAATTGCCAGAACCAAAGTTAGTGCATAAGCATATAAAGTGCTGACACCAGTTTTTGCACAGTTGCCAAAAAACAGAAAGTAGGTGTTATTTTGTAATAATCAAAATGTTAATCACAGCAATGCATCAATAGCAGGACTCCTGCTAAAGAAAACTATTCCATGTAACAAACTTACTTTAAATAATACAAAAATGCAAGTATTCTCCTGTGGTCACTCATACCTGAAAAGGGATTCTCGTGACAGCCAGATTTCGTTCTGTTTCACGGTCTTCCAAGAGAAGAGCAGCAGCAGTAAAGCAAAGAGGGTCAGAACAGTAATTCTCCACTTATTTAACCATGTAGACAGCTTTCTCAGACCATGGACAAAAAGGATGCAGTACCCCATACTGGAAAAAAAAAAAAAAAAAAAGGTACCAATAGTTACATTCCAATACTCTGGTTTATATGCAAGACCACTCAGTATTGCATTTATTACACAATTACAGGGTTTTGGGAACTAATTATATTTGCCAGGCTAACAAAGTCCAATTCAACAGCAGTTTTCCTCAAGTCACTACACAATTTCCAAATTAATCTAAATGATAGACCCGGATGCCAGAAATACAGTAGCGTACATAATACCACCCAGCATAATGGTAGCTCAGACCAGTCTGTGGAAGACAGCTGCTTTTCTGAACAGCAAGCTAAGAAAGCATCATGTAATAACAGTAATACTGAGCACTACTGGAGCAGCATGGAAGTGAAAAGCATTTTAACACAGGGAAGTTTCTCAACAACCCCAGCGGTGGCCGTTATTTAATTCTAGTTTAACAAACGGTGAAGCTGAGGCGGGAGAGCGAGTGCTGCAGCCGGTGCCGCAGCAGGAGTGGGTGGCAAACACCACGACAAGAGGCAGGAGTCCCTGCCTGGGTCTTGCACGGCTACACCCGGGCCAGCCCATCCCTCCGAGCGCTCGGACCACAGCAGCTGAGATGCACTAGCAGAGATTCCGCGCTGCCCTTCTTCACACAGCCTTCCCCAGCACCCAGCCTCCCGGCACTTTCACGGCTCTCCACACATAACTACTGAGGCATTTTCTGTGAAGCAAACTGCATTTCGAACTGAAGTCTTATTCCTGTATAACTTTAAATCAGTTCAGTAATTATTTACCTTAAGTGTTATGTTAATTCTTCCAGTGATACCTCTCTGAGTCGCAAATGGAGTGCTTTCCATTGCTTGCTTAGTATGCCACTAATTTTACTCGGCATTTTTAAAAAGGAATTTCAATTCCTGTTGCTCAAGGAATTTCATTAGCTTATCTTTAACTCAGATAGTTAAGTTAATTTAAGTTAAACTGCATTTAACTTAAATGCAGTTACTGAGCACCTGATCTAGTTTTAGACTTAAAAGCTACCTTAGTCCAGGCAACACCCACTGAAGAAAAAAGGGAGCAGAAGGATCTGCAATAACACTTGGGACCACCAGTGCATGGGGACAAAAAAATCAGCCGTCCCCAGACACTGGCACACCTTGAACCCCAGCTGAATCCCACATCTGAACACAGGCAGGCTGGAGACAGGCCGCTCATCACACCTGCCCGCGCTCCAGCCAGAGATCTACGGGCTTTCCTGGTCTGCACCCAGATGTCCGAGCAACTTCCCGGTGAGACCGCTACAAGGCAAGAAAAACAAAGAACACAATTCCCCTGTCAGAGGTGACCTTGCAAGCAAGCACACAATATGGTGAAAGTCAATCTGGAAATCAGAAAAAGCCCCATCTTCGAGGAGCTGTGAGTGTGCTTCTTGGTGATGCTTCTCTGCCCTCTTGGAGGGCTGGGCACATCCCTATTGCCTAAGAATAGAGAGGGACAATAATTTTTACTTTTACTGAGGAGAAAAAGTGCCTCTGTTGTACGTACTGACCAGCAGCAGGCAGTGGTGCTGTCGCCGACACAGTACAGGTGCCGTATAGGACACAGAGAGGCATAGAGGGCAAATTCACAGACATCATCAGATCTGGTGATCATTCAAAACTTCTTCATTGTTCTTTTAGAGTTCTTCCATTTTTCAGAAGTGGGTATCTATTCTTCACTTGACTATGCTTGCATTTTGCTGCAACACATTTCTTAAGGCACTTGCACTGTTTTTTTCCATGAATTCTTTTGCACACATATGTTTATTGCACCTACATTAACTGCAAGCAGACATTTAGAGCTACAAACCGAGATGCTGGTGCCAAACAATCCAGCCTTTATAGCTATTGAACCCTACTTCAAAACCTCTGAAAAGCTAATCTCAGTAATAAGCCCTCCCTTTACAATAAGAAGTCCCTCAAAAACCTGCAGATGGTTTTCACTCTGTTATTTTGCCTTTTAGCAATTTCATCTTTCCCTTGGAATTAATTATCTGACATAAACATTATTTAATTGCTTCAGCACAAGGCTGTTTTCAAAGGAATTTCCTTACACCTTCACGTTTTCAAGAACAGGCCTTTTCTAACAGAACTGTGAATGCATCCAGAAAACAAAAAAATGCAAACGTCAATGTCTTGGTATTTATGTCAAACCCTGCCCCAGCTGTTGGGAATTTCTGCCTTAGCAGCAGCGCTCAGTCTGCTCATCCAGTGCACAGCCAGCACTGCATTACAGCTGACACAGCCTCTGGAAAGGTGCTGCTCCCAGGGGTTATTCTCAAATATCTGCAGTGCATTGCCAGAATAGTTAAAGACCTACTGGGTACTACAGAGGAGTAAGGGTCCAGACTGCAGCTCCCATCCCAGCCACGCTGGCAGTGACACGGTGCGGGTACATAGCAGCACCCAGCTCCACGTGGCACTTTCCATCGGGGGCTCCCAAAGCACTTTGAAAGGGAGATCGGCTGCAATTTTCCTCTTACAAAGCAGGAACATGAATCATGGCAATGAAGTGATTTGCTGTGCTAACAGGCTGGCAAACAAGGCACCAAAGCTGCAGTCCAGGGCTCTACCTACAACACAGGGGAGTACGCAGTGGAAACCAAGGTATCTTGCTGAAAAGCCACAGGACTCCCCTGAGAGATAAACAGTTAAGTAGCTCAAAGGCTCCACATCCACACTCAGCAAGACTACAGGATTCAGCAGTAAGCACGAATACAGAGGGGAATAGATTCCCAAATGGCTGCTGGAAGGGGGTCACGTAGCTGACATACCAGAATCCCAAACCGCAAAGCTGCAAAGGCTAAGGTGAAAGGATTGATGCTAAGAAGGGCAGGGTTGAAGCATGATTTACACTTTAATAAGGTAAGAGATAACTGTGACATCATTAGGACTGAGTTGTAGCTGTGCCACAGTTACAGCCTAACTAGCCTACAGTCCACGTACCTGCACTATAAAGTACACAGGAACCCAGAAGACCAGAAAAGAAGGAAAGGGATCAGAAAGCATGAAGTGAGTACTTTTATTTTCAGAACCTGGTAAGTTTGGCTTAAAACTCCAGACTATTTCCTGCCACAGATCATCAAGGAAAGGCTAGGGAGGATGCGCTCACATTCTCTTGTCAGACACCTTCCAGTGCAGATGTCAGGTGGAGCTGCATATTTTTGCATGGCTTTTTTTATGCCAGGGTCATTTCAAGTCCATCCCTGGGCTGAGGGTGGATGTTACATTCCTGGTTGCGGGTCTTTTGCAAGCCAAGGGCTCCCAGAAGCACAGAAAGGACTCACGTGGCCTTTGCCACCAGGAAAGCATGCCTGTTTGTGATTTCATGCCACAAATTGTATTCAAAACAACAGCTCCCTGCAACATCCCCAAAGCTATCACCCTTAGCAATTTTTGCATCTCTCTTTGCATTTCTAGCTTAAGGCCAAATAATTATGGTGAAATCAGGTCAAATCCAGACTCCTCCTCCAGATCCTGTGGTCTGCTCTAAACAAAACAAAAAGTATCCACACCCATGTATTAAGCATCTGACAAAAACTACAATTATATTGTTTCCTCATCCCAAAAACGCATAATCCCCCCATACCTTACAAGACACTTGTTTCACACTAGACTCAACAGTGCCAGTACAGAAATTATCTTTAGTAGAGAGACCATGAAGTTTTGATCCAGTAAAGCACCAAGCTTGCTAAGATGGGGTTGCTGCAGCAGCAACATGCCCTGACAGTGACTGGACCTGGAGACACCCCCCTCGGTGCTTCATCCATGAGATGCAAGTTCATCCCATTTCCCTTGATCCCGTCCTCACCAGGTTCAGATAAGCCATTCAGAAGCTGCTCTGGGTTTTAGCAAGTCAGCAGCAACCCAAGGAGTGGTACTGGGGTGGGAAGAGCCCCCACAGGGGCGACTGCACTTATCTGATTAAAGTAACTTTCCAGGTGACTCTTAGACATTGCCTATGTGGTTCACTCTGCTGTGATCCTGACATCATCTACAAACACAGAGAACATTTCAAATACATTAGCTTTTCTTCCCAGAGTGCCAGGGGACTTGACTCCGTATCAAACATTAGCACTGGCTCGCCAGGAAATCAGATTTTACTCACATGCATTTAGAGGGAAAAAAAAAAAAAAAAAAAAGTCTTAAAAGCACCTTTCATCAAAGACTCGTTTGCCACTTGAAAAAATTACTCCAAATACTACATCCCAGACATCTCCATAGCTATCTGCATATGGATGGAGGCTACAGGATTGTGGGTTTGGGGTTTGTTTAGGTTTTTTTGATAATTCTAGCATTTCCTAGGAAGGGGACCATTTCTCCTAAGGGGCTTTTCTCTTGGCATTGTCACCCCTTGTGCAAGTACTTTTCTAAAATACTTTGTAGCCAAAACAAAACAATGGGAAACAAGCAGAATCCCCAACCCCCTTATTTTTTTAAGTCCATTTTCCACTGGATTACTGTAAAACTGCTTAGCTTTATTTCTTTCTTCTGTAGAATAAACAACAGCCTGCTGCAACAACTGTTCCCCACTGCGAAAAGTCCACGCCAGCTTGGTCCCCAGGGTCAGATGCAGAGCAGGACCTGAGGAACAGCCCAAGAGATTAACACGCTAATAGTTTTTCCACGGTCTCACCATGATCACGCTTATTATGGGAGAACCCGTGGCTTCAGAAATTCAGTGATGCTGCAGGAGAGTTCAGCAAATGGACTAACAGGCCAATGGTTTCCTGACTCCTCATGTTTCAGACTCCCGCGGTACTGAAGTGGTACCTTCGGCATGTCCTGAATTGCAGCGAGGGCAGGGCTGCACCCGGGAGGCAAACCCTCTGTGCTGTTGCCATGTGTTTCTGGCAGACCGCACGCAGGGAGCTGTGCAATGACAGATTTTCATCTATAGTTTCCGTGGTTTGTTAATATCGTTCCACCTGCAAGGAAGGGAAGTGAGAGGAGGCACAAGCAGATGGGAATGAGGTGGCACACAGACCCCGTTTCC